AATAAGTTACATCTTTATTACATCTTAATTTTTTGCCGAACTGAACTAAGTACTACTCGAGCCTTCCATTTTTTGTCCTATGATTTACATTCATGGCTTCTAAACAAACCAGCTGGTCACAGTGAAGCCGTAGATATCGCGATCAGGTCACGAGGCCGACTGACGTACAAAACAATACATGTAAAAATGAAAAAAAAAGCGCGGATTGATTTAGTTTTACATCCCCATGGAAACTGAGACTGCAGACCATCTGGCAACGCAGGCGCTACCAATTTGAAGCGTGATATTCACGACGAAGAAAGTCCAGACGTGGTCTTCGACAGGAAGCCCACGTAATGAGGGGACAGGCGCAATTTATAATTTTTTTTTTTGGCCTTTCTGTACGTCTGAATTATGCAGATCATATGGACATTCATTTTAAATAGGACTTTCCCAAAACGGGGGATGCCGGACCTATTGGCACTCTCCCCCTTGAGTCTAGAGTAAAAATCACAATGGTTTCCTCCTGGACTATAAACTGTAATCGAATGAACGAAAGGTAACTCTTGATATATATGTCACTTTGAACAGTTTTTTCGTGTTTAATTCTGTTTGGTGATTACAAGCACTAATGACTAGGAAATGAAAACTCTGTCAACAATTGTAAAAAATGTCAGGTTTCACTTATCAAAAGTCAAATTGTATTTATTGTAAATATTTCGTGTACATAAAGGAACTGTTCTAAATCCCATTAAGGTTGTGTACTTGTTGTATTGACTACACAACAGTAGAACATGTAAATCAGGCTATATCTATCGATGTAATAATGCAATATTAATTATGATTAAACTAATGATTAATTAATTATCGTTAATGAGAAGAGAATTTAATTAGAGACGCGAAGAAGCACTGACAAATCTGGTTTAATATTTCTTATCATGCATTCATATATAAGCTTTTAAATTATTTTCATCCATTTTTAAAAGTTGACATTTGTCAACATATATAGTTCAAAACAAGTGCTTAAAATCTATAATTCACGTAATTCTGAAGAAGGCTTTATTTTCAATTTGTACGGTTTTCCTTGACGTGTAGAGCTGTGTCAGCTGTTGCTTCGACTTTAACTCCTCTTAGTGCCTTACAAAGTAACACCCTTAGATATTCCTTTCTGAACTTAGGGTTCATTATACCATAAATAACGGGGTTGACTGCACTACTAAATGAAGCGAGGAACGTGTAAACGGTATATGCTGGTCTGGRAAGACTGTAATCCCCTCTGACGGTATCAATGAAATCCATGATCAGGACTGGCGACCAACAAGTCATAAAAACTACGACAATTACAAACAATGTTTTGGCTATCTTGATTTCTTGTGCGCTTACAGTCCYATCTCTTGAATTGAGAACTGTTTTGTTATGATGTTGTACCGCTTKAAAAACTCTGAAGTAGCACATRAAKATTACRCTTGTTGGGAAACCAACAAATACGGTTACCAGAAATATAGCAAACCACAGCGAGTCCACGCTCACATAGCAGAAAAACTTACCGGGATTGAATATGAATTTACTCCCCGAGGAAAGATAAGGAATCGGAGCAAGAAGAGATAAAGTCCATACGCTCGAGATAATGTAAGTAGTCTTTTGCTTAGTGAAAAGGTTACGGGACTGCTGCGGCTTTACGACGCTAAAATACCTATTAATAGCCATCCAGGTAAGATTYTGCGTCGATGAAGCGGCCATTAAGACAGATATGAACCCCTGATATTGACATGCTGCGTCTCCAAATGACCAGTTCGATTTTATAAGAACTATTAGGAGTAAAGGCATCGATAGACAACCCATTCCTAGATCCGAGAAGGCTAAAGAAACAACGAATGCATTTGGGATAGTTCGAAGAGATTTGGATTTCCACACCAGATATACAGTGAGACTATTTCCAAACACCGTCCCAAGATAAAGTAGTCCAAATACTAGACTTTCAAAGACTATAAGCYCGGTGGGTCTTGATTTAAGKGAGATRTCAAGGCGTTCAAGACTTCCAATCGCTGTTGTGCCATTCATGATGAAACGTCAAGTATACCGTAGAAAGATAATGGCCCCAGTTACTTGAGCTGATGAAAATTGTTTCCCTTTTTTGTGAATGATATAAGGTGACGGCACCTTACCAATTTATGATCGGATACAGCCAATACGTAGCGACAGCTGAAACAAGACGAGAAAGACAAATATTAAAATAAATCCCATTGAAGACCTCTGAAAWATAACACATTGCTGAAACTGTCAAGCACAAATGACATGACAACAGAAAATTGGCAGTGGTTTTGTATATTTGTATTTGGTTCCATCTTGTTACATTCTTACCTAGACTCCGAAAAAACATGAAAAATCGCTTTGAAATAAAGTATATTTTTATGAAAATATGTAACTTCCTTATTTATAATTGGAGTTTTAAATGGCGGAGATTGTTATATTTACTCTGTGGGTCTTCAAGTGTAATAGGGGAAATCTCGGATATCGCGATGCTCGACTGATGTCCACTGAATTCTTAGACCTAATCTGGTACCTAAAAAATCTTGTTAAAAAGTGAGCAAGTGATTCCTTCCAGGCTCTTTTTAATATTAATACAAAAATGTGTGAGAGTAATATATATWTTTTTTCCGGTARATTGTCACCTTGCTTAATTCAGCTTACACGAAAGCGCAAACAAAAATTACCCGAGCGCAGTTGGGATTCTCATTTGATTTTAAGTTTTTTYCAMGAGAACYAAATGAACGMAGCTCACCTTAAACYATCCTCTMGCTAGTATCAAACGAGTTATTAATTATCACTCAAAGAATACCGGTTSTGCGTTTTAATTTCCTTGTATTTATTTTTCTTCGTGGTTTTATTATTTTTTGTATAACACAAGCAAACAGCAGTCATCATTGGTTGTTGGCATCGGACCATTTGGCTAACGTTTTGAATATATAATCATTTGCGATGCGTTTGAAACTCAAAAGTAAACTAGATGATATCTCTATAGTCGGTAGCTCTTAAATAAACTCAAAAAAAAAGTCATGACTTTCAAAAAAATAGTTTATATTCTGAAATTAATGATTATGCAGTATGCGTGTCGCCCTTCCCCTTGATTGTATCATAAGATGTTTTAAATGATTTTCTTTAAATTATAATGACTTTTTCAATTTCGTTTGCCATTAATTACTATGATTTCTGATAATTAAGTTTGTCGATTTTAGTAGTTCCGATTACGAGTATATAAATTTATAGTGTAAAGGTGTACACTGTACTTACTTTGTTTTTATGCTTTTTTTTAATCGCACGTTTGATATAGTCCGTTCTGTATTCCTCTGTCTTGTTTACTATGTTGCAACACCTATTTAACATAGTATTTTATTATGGGAAAACTTGGGATGGGAATGATTGCCTAGAGATAAAAAAAAACTGAATCAAGAACTGACGTCCATCACGATCCAATTGCATATTTTGCTCTTTGTACGCACTATCAGTCATTTTCCAAGATTCCCGCAAAGTGGTTTCGCTTAGTAATCAATTTATATCGAGCTAAAAGTATATTTTGATGTACTTTTTTACTTTTTAATCTGGAAGCCCCCTTGGAATCAATTTTTTGAGCTCTAATTAGGAGTAGTTCAGCTTTCTTGAGGTTTATTTGAAAATTTTAATTGAATCCAATGTGAATAAGTATACTGTACTTGCGACAATCGATATTTACGTTTTACGTTGCCGTATTTACATACGTTGCTTCCCATATTATCATAATGTGTTTGAACTTCATACAAAGAGAAAGTATTCCTTAATTGTCCATAATATGGTTTTCGGGAATAACAATCTATAAAATAAATAATATCAATATTTGATATTTTTGAATGCCAAATAATTAAAATTTACTTAAAATATTTGAAATATTATTTGAACTCAATATTGAAATTGGCAAATTTCTATTGAGCCGCCATCTTGGATGATTATATTATCCTAAAACTTGCAGGCCGAACCTTCGAAAAATTCAATATATATACATATAAATATACTTTATTCAGTAGGAACTATAAAGACATAGATAAGTCATTGAGGAACTTTAAGCTGAATTTGCATCATTTTAACAGTACTATATAATATATAGCCTTTTTAAAACTTCTATATTATTGATATTCAATAATTTTCCAAAACTGCATCACCATCATTAACTTTAAGCTTCTGATTGCATACACTAGAGACAGCAAAAACATTCACACAAAATACACTTAGTTTAATTGACCATCATGCAAGTAAATTAACATAAAATGAGCAGGACGATGCCCATAACACTTTTTATCGTCTTCGCGCGCRAAGATGGCGCCAAATTTTAAGTAACAATTATAGGCCTCTGTGAATGGYTCAAAATGAACTATCTCTTGTCGCTGTGTCGTAAGGTATCACATTAATTACGTCTTTTTCTTTTCTTCTTTTAACGGAGTATCTTTTTCCCTTCTGYTTGTTRCACGTTATCACAGCAAAGTACTGTCCGCGAAGTGTAGTGTTCATAATACCGTAAATGAACGGATTTATTGCGTTACTGACCGTAGCAAGGAACGTATAACAGCAGTATACTGTTCTTGAAAAGAAGAGTTTTCCTTTAAAGGTGTCTATGACGTCGATGATTAAGACTGGTGTCCAACAAACAATAAACACAACAACAATCACAAACAATGTGTGCGTCGTACGGATTTCTTCAACGCTAAGTGTCTGATTGCGCGCTCGTTGCTGCGAAATTCGCTGATTGTTTTTGTTGACAAGTTTATAAACTCTGAAATAGCACCAGGATATGATAGTTGAGGGTACACCAACGTAGACAATCACTAAAAGGGCTGTAAACCATGCAACATCAATGCTYAAGTAGCAGAAAAACTTCCCTGGATTGAAAACAAACATATTTCCTGCCAGAACGTAAGGAAGAGGCGCAACAAGTGAAGAAGTCCAGATTTGAAGAATGATGAACTTTATTCTGCTAGCAGTGAAGASTTGATTAAATTGTGTAGATCGACAGACTCGATARTASCGATTAACCGCAGTCCATGCAAGTGTTTGAGTCGATGCTGCMGCTAGAACAACGGCTATGTACCCTTGGTACTGACATACTACTTCCCCAAAAGGCCAMTSTGARGTRATTAAGACTAYAACCAGCAAGTGCATCGATAAAAAGCCCATTGCAAAGTCCGATAARGCAAGCGATGCAATAAAGATGTTTGTTGAGACGCGGCGTAGAATAGGGCTCGTRAARATKATCCATAAAGTTAAAAAGTTACCAAAAAGAGTCGCTATGAACATAACTACATAGATTGTACTYTCAAACACTAYCMACCCAGTRGAACGAGCTCTGAGTTCTTCTCCTAACACACCTATGCAATTCGTTGATCCATTCATTTTCAATGCGTTAATKAAATGAGAGCAAGGATCCGGAGTCTTGACAATTCTAGATGAAAGTGTGATAAGGGATCTTTCGGCGATGACAATCGATGGAGATCCTCCTTTTTTAATGATTTCAGCTGTCCTTTTGTCATGTGAAGATGAATGTATGGCATCAGTTGAATGAAAAGACAGACTGTTAAATGATTAGTAATGAACACTTTTTGATTCGAAGCAAGGAAGCAGTTGAATTTTTCCACAAAAAGGTTTAGTTTGCAATATTTTTAAAAAATAATATCTCCCGCGCCCTGGATTTAATAAGATGAGAAAAATTTTAAACAAACGTCCTTATTAGCACTTGATTTCCTTTGGAGGTATAAACAATACAAAGATTAAAAATAATGAACAATAAAAACTAGAAATCACTAACAATTTAAGTCAAAATGGTACTGCAGAAAATCAACCAAACTTCGTTTTTCGATGAAAATTCATTTTGTCAGACGACTAAATACTAAAACGTACTTACCCCTACACCCCAAGGTTACAGCATTAAAACCCGCAAAGACTATCAAATGAACGAATAAGAAATTCCGTTTCTAATGAGCAAAAGAGTCAAAATAAATCCTTTTTTCATATTTCGCTTTCTATATGAGACGTTTTAGATGTCAATTTGACATGATTTGATGTCGGTGTTATGTTCTTTTACCGAAATTAAATCGCTATATGCCAGCTCCCACATGTTAAGCCAATTACAGTAAACCTTGACCGAGTATTTACTTTGATAGAATTTTAAGTGTGAAATATTGTCTTCTGTTTGTTCAATTTAATTTAGTTTAGTTTAATTAAGTATCATCCTGTTGTAGTTCTTTTGCWCGGTCCATTTTTTACAATCTGTTTTTGTTTCACAATCTTYCYTTTWWYAGTACGYATACGGATAAAAACTCCGAGTTAAAATGCAGGTTTTCACTATTTTGCCCTCCAAAGCTGATAACCAATATTGACAGCAAATCATTGTAAACATACTTCCCAGAACAAATCAATATCTTTCATATTTTATTACTTTGAATAAAAATGATCAAATAGCTTATTGTATTTTCCTTTTCTCTGTTTCTTTACTTTGCCACCTACTCTATTCATAGATAATCAGGAAACAGCTGCTGGGGCTAGATGATCATTTCCAACATTTCCTCTAACGGAAGATAACAATTTAAAGCCGGCATTTATAAAGGGTAGMYCTTCACGGTTTTGCAATTTGCAAGCTCTTATCCGATTGGTTTACTWGCTATTTRTTAAATAAAAGAAAACAATAGGATTTAAKAACGAGGAAACAATGAGCATTGTTTTATTCCTCCAATCACAAGTAACCTTACAATTGCAACTTGYGAAGGATAACAGYATGGAAACTAGCGATGATACTWGGAAAGTTGATTTTGTACRAATGATSRTCCTTTGTGCGAATCAACATTTTCCTTGCTAAGAAATACACGCTTKTTTCATTTGAAATCTTTATTCATTTCTTCATTTATGTGTTTATTTATTTCACCATTTTTACCTTTGTTTATTTATCTATTAAACCATATTTATTCATGCTAGCTAGACTTTTGGAGTTTCAGATATATGAAACGTTTTTACCATTTATCTAGCTATCCATATTACGCCGACTATTAAGACTTGTTAACGTTTCTCGGCCAATCACATACTTGTATTTCTTCATTATACAAGAGACCTTTTGGGCAATTCATCTTAAAGGTTCTTTCATTGGCACAAATGATAAATCCTGAGGGCTTTAATTTATCTGGGTAATGGCCATCCCTTTTCCCAATGCAGAACCCTGTAGATTTATGAAAAGTAAAAGTCAATAATGAGAATATATGTGTATATCCATGCCTTGGATGTGGATATAGTAGAAAAGCTATGACTTCTGAAGGCACATATATAAATGTCAAAGGCGAACTGACGTTTGAAATAAAAAAAATCACAATATAATTGTGTCATAACTTTTCTAAAGTCAATGATATTTCAAAAGTAGGTTCATTTCAAAGATTATCGAGAAGCAAGCGGTAAAAATACGTACCACAAATATTTACCATATTCTTATGGTCAGCAACACATTATAAAATCKATTTATTCACARTTTTATCACAACAAAACGCAAAACTGGCTCGTAATGCTAACAATAAGAATATAATATACCATTGAGGGTTTAAGAAGATAAMATGTGGATTCTGAWTACTAGTTAGAGTACACCTACTTGGCGATGTAGTTGGTTTCCCGCTTGGAGAAGTAGTTGGTGTTACTGGTGGTTTTGGCGTATACGTAGTTACGCCAGGTTTCTGCGTTGTGGTTCCCTGTGTAGTGGTTCCCTTTCCAGGTTTCTGTGTAGTGCTTTCAGGTTGAGATGAAGATGCCGGTGGTGTTGTTGGTGTTTGTGAAGGGCTGTTTGTAGCAGTTCCACTTCCAGTGGATGGGGCAGATGTAGATGCTGTTGTCTTCTCTTCCTCTGGCTTATTGGTTGGAGAGACTGATGTTTCATTTTTTGGAATTTGGCCAGACGGCGTTGACTTCGCATCTAGAATACAATACATGTACATGAAAAAACAACAAGGCAACAACAACAGCAACAGCAGCAACAGCAACAACAGCAACAGCAGCAACAGCAACAACAGCAACAACAACAGCAACAACAACAACAACAACAACAGCAGCAGCAACAACAACAACAGCAGCAACAACAACAACAACAGCAGCAACAACAGCAACAGCAACAACAGCAACAGTAACAACAACAAAACATGTACATGTTTGGTTGATACTTTGATTGGCTTATTAATTAGTTCATTCAATTGTATGGTAACAGTTCCACAGTTGGTAAATTGCTTTTTGTCTCAGGATTCAAAGTAGTTTCTTTGCTGGTAGGGGAATTGTTCGTGCCGTGTATCGATGAATTAGTGATTGCATTCAGTCACGTTTTGTGATCATTTAATAGGCTATGATATGTAATTATACAATGCAAAGAGTGATAAGTCCGTACAGATGACAATAAGAAARTTTTTCATRTTTGTTTACCTTGGGTGACTCCCCCCTGACCGTAGCATTTTATATCCTSAGGACTTGCATCTGCATAAAGATGGTATTTTGAAATTAGAAAATTAACTAAAGGTATAAGTGGACTGTTATAGCAATTGATGCTCCGATAGTCAATGGTATTTGATGATGGAAATGGCAATGGGCACGACAARGGTGATGAAATAACGAAAAGATTTTCACTGATAATCAAAGAGCACAACTATAGATAGCACTAACTGGACTTAAATTGTAATCCATACCAGCCGTGAATCCAGAAAACTGAATCTTGGAAGGGATATCAACATCATTCTCCAATTTGTCAATGGTAGTTTCGAGTTGTTCGTTGGAAATACTCGTTAACCTCACTTTTATAGGGAAGTTGATTTGACCGAGACCACTGATAATAAAATGATTATTTCCACCACGTTTCATGCAGATCCATTTGTTATCTTTTAAAATCTCCAAACCAGCCGCAACAACTCTGATAGATAGAAAATATAAAAGAAATAAAAGAAGTTTGAAAAAAAACTGCAAATAAACGGTCAATGAATGATTGTAATGTCAGCAACAAAAGAAGAACAGAACAGAACAGAACTCACCACAACAGAACAAAACAAAACATAACACAATTCACCACAGCAAAACACAACACACTCACTGCAACACAACAAGTACACAACGACAGAGCAAAACAAAACAGAATAAGAAACAACACAACACAACAGCAAAAACCAAAAAAGACTGTGAGAATATTGACTTAGAATATTACATTCATAAGTACGTTGAAACATAACATGCACAAAACAGAACTCCATAGTGATTGGTTATTGATGTAATTTTTTGCATACACCTAATTGAAGAAACGTTGTCGGGTCCAAAAAGATCTAATCATAGAAGCTAAGACCGAAAAGGTACTTGGGAAGACAAACAATTTGGCTAATTTCATACAAACAGCTCTCCAGCATAAAAGACTAGCATGCTGTTAATCTTACTAGCTCTAGTTGCTTTACCGTGCACCATGTTAAACACCGTATATGCAAATGTAGTCCCAAATTAGTGGTACTCAAAATCCCTCTCGGTCTTAGCTTCTATGATGTGACCTTTTCGAACACGACTACGTTTTTTCAATTAGGTGTACGTTAAATCTAATTGGTTATCATGAAAGATGAATACACTGTAGCCGATACTTGTATGACATCACCTACTTTGTATTTCGCACTTGGAGCTTCAGATACCAGGGGTTGCTTCCACGAAATCGAAATTTGATATTTCCATTTGGACCAGAGAGAGAAGGGCACTCGATAGCTTTGAACTTAGTCTTGTAAACACCAGCTCCAGGTATGTACAAGTCGAATCCAGCTAAAAATAGGTGTGCTTTTCTAAATATTTTTATTGTTTATATTACATTGGCTATATTGTTTCCATTAATTTATCATTGGAGAGTTTGTAAATACACAAAAAAGAGATGTAAGTGTGTCTGTCAGATAAACGGATCTCCTCCGTAGGYGTATCTATTTCTATTTTTTGGGCTTCCTGTCTTCCWCAAGATGTCCGAGGGAGACTGTGGTCCGCTCGGCCAAGAGGTCAAAATGAACAGTTGTCTGTRGAGGTGCCAAAGGCTAATAAAATTGTATTTGATTTCGGTTGAGATAGAGGAATAATTTTCTGCTAACCTTGTTTGYATCCTCCACAAATATCAACTATRACTGCCTTTAATTTGCCTTTGACTGGAGTACCAACATGAGCAGGTGAAATTGGAGTGCCGTCCCCTGTGATTTCGATGCACATTCCACATCCCACGGACTTGAGGAAGTCCTCCCTACYCGCTGCTACCTTGATCCAGCCTGGGGCACTGTTAATAGGTGGAATRGGCGATAGTTCACAGGCTAGTGCTGTATCTGTTGGAAAATCTCCATAGTATCGCGACTAAACAAACAAGGACAATACAGGTAAATATATTTCTAGTGAGCGAACCTCTATTACGAACACCTTTGTTATTTGTAGAGATTTTAGGCATCAAGTATACGGCAAACGGCTAACGGCAMAGCTGAACCAATGACCTAAGAATTTCGTGCCTGACCTTTTGCTTGTGGTAGTCATTTGAAAGAGCGAMTTTTCACGATTATGGCAAACTYAAAATAAACCACTCTCGCGTTGAAACTGTAACGGTACCCCACCCCCCCCAAAAAAAAGCAGGCCACATGATCTTTTCTGCCGTTTGCCGTGAACGTCATGCTTAAGCTCTCTAATGTTTCTTAAGTAACGTTTATTCTTAATGTAAATGACCTCATTATGACAGCCAACTTTGGCGAACATCTTTCTTTTATTCCGCGGTGTTTGTAACCACAGTTCAATTTCGCCCTCTTTTTATAATTCTTTCGATATTTACACAATTGTTCCCTTTGAAAATGATCTCAGACAATACGATATTGATACAGATTATTTACAACCAGTTAAATACTTACATCACCATCAGAAATTTTAGTATATCTGCTCCAAACAGCTTTTACGTCTTCGATACTGGGTACACCCTTCAAATAAAATATTCATGGCTGTTTTAGATTTAAAAAAAATACTTCATAAAATAAGATAATTCACTTACTTCAGTCTTAGCAATAAAGCTGAGGGCAGCAAAAACAAACAGAAGAATATTCATTTTGACTGCAAAAGAGGGCAATATTTTGTTAAAACCTGTCCTAATTATTTGTTAGTTTTGTGTAAAGCTGCATTTTGTTTAGCGCAGGCAGGGATTATATGGTCGTACACGTACCGCAGAATGGCCTATCATTGTCATAATTGTGTTATGGAGGAGCTCACTGATCCCTCGAAGACTTACTTAGACTAGCTATTGTTTAGATTCACTTATTATAACTTTTGCCGGGTCGAATATTTGACTTCGTGCCGTCAGAGAATATTGCTTTGTTTAAAGGGCATCGACGCAGCTGCTGAAATTTYGTGCGCTGTTGTCCAAATTTGCTTGATTAAAGTCCTATTGTTTTAGAGCGTCTTCTGCAATACGTAGCTGCGCAGATTTTGATTGTAAAACTACTTTGCTCGAGACGKTTTTTTTATGCATCTATGGCGCTCCATGCATCTATGAAGTTCTACAATATAGAAAATGTGTAAGGAAGACAGCCACGCGATATTAGACAATATGAACRTGACGATACGATTTGATTGTTACAATAAACGCCTTTTTAGTTTCCGGTATTACGATAATTACATTGTAATGATAATAGAAGGGTGGTGCAAAGTRCATACCTTTGTTTTGCAGATTCGTAGACTTGGCTTGTGTTCGATATATGAAGAAATATCCTTGAGCTGTGGGTTGATAAAGGTAGTGTAACTACAAGCTTTGATGAGACTGTTAATTAAATCCCGTATATAAAATATTACATTATCATTTTCAAGATGAACCCATTCAAAAGTGTCATTTCATTAATATGGGATACTTGATTTCAAAATGAAAACACTTGAAAAGAATTCCTCGGTGCTGGTTATTACCCGTCAACCGTCTGTTTCCATGACCACATTTATCACTGACCCAGAACAGTKACACCAGCTGCAAAGATATTGGCGACGCCATATTTAAGATTCAGMTATATAGTACCTGAGTCAACCTACTTTATCCACAGAGTCTGTAGATTGAACTGAAGAACTAGTTTTGTTTATATAGGATTCCTTAATGTCAAAACAATGTATTCTATGCCATAGCGTATCATGAAGGCCTAGAGTGRGCATGTACTCGTACAAATCGTCCCTAATTGCGTTTTGCATTTATTGTTTATCCCCTTAAAGAAACTTAAACAATGTCAGTAAAATGGCATTTTTGGTTGATTTATACGATTCGGACGATTTTATGTTCACTAGGAAATCACGATAATGGTCTCCATTAAAAATCTAAATATTTTAGGTGTCGACAGACAAGTGCGGCTTAAAATCTATAACTGGACAAAATCGTTTTAGTTCGAGAATAGAATGGAMAATAGRCCTAATCGGCTAACGTCGTTGTTAAGTGCGTTGCCACCCAATTCAAATCCTGTGGGAAAAAGAACTTTTGTTTCTAAGAATTCAACKGTGAAATGAAAATACAAYGAACAGTGAAACTTTCTCCCGGGTGGTTTGAATTGKGTTGAAGCCGATTAGGTCTATTGATACGGACAATTGGCCAGAATTGACAATCAGACCTTATCACGATCTGATTGGCTGTGTGATATTTGATCKACAAAGAATCATTTTAATATCTTAAATTTTTAATTTTCAATATCAATGTTACACATGATTTAATTTCTCAATTATAATTCAGTTTTCTATAACACAAACAATAACAAATTCATTTAGCAAATAAATATTTTCTCTCTATATATATATCATTGCCGGCCTTTTTCAGAGAATAGCATAGACATACTGCTCTTTTGGGAAATTCAATTCATGTCCTTAAGTTAAAACTCAAATAAAACGATCATAAAGTAAGAAATCATATGAATTTGGTAGTGAAGTGTTATCAAATCTAAAAATTTGCTAACTAGGTTATACAACATGCTATCTGACTGAATGGTACTCTATTTCACAAAGTTCAGTGTTTAGGTAATTGTCTTGAAAGGKGAGCTCTTATCAGCTTTTCCGTCATGGACAATTTTACCGCTGGTTTCTACTTTGGGCTTGTCCTGCAACTTGCTTGAAGTCTCGCAGACTTTTTCTCTTGGATTGAATACCATTCCGTTGGAACATTGCCTTTCTTCAGTCACTCCATTGTAGCAAATGATGAAYTTACTGGGGTCTTCGTCAGTTGCATACACACCGCTTGGTTTCTCCTTGCACATTTCCTTGGGATCTGATGATAGACGACAATTAAAAACTACATCATTTTCTAATTCATTTCAATATTAAGATTTTGCTTTCTCCCCCATGCCCTATAGCGTCCTTAGTGGGACGTCTACATCGTTCGCCGTTGATATTTTCTGAGCATACGTTTAGACAATACACACCTATTTTCTTCACTTCAACTTTGGCTGGAATTTGTTGATCTGATTGCGACTTTTCGCCGCTTTTTTCTTTTGATCCTTTCTCTTTTCCATCCTCTTTTTTGTCTTGCTCTTTCGAATTGGATTTGCCGCTTTTATTACTTTCCTTYCCTTTGGTGCTGCTGTCCTTTTCGGGTTTGCTTTTTTCAGGCTTGCCTTTTTCTTCCTCTACACTTTGTTGCGATTCTTGAGTTGTTCCAGTAGAAGCTTCTTCTTGATTATCACCACTTTCTRTCAAAATTAAAAAAAGACATTTCTGTTATACTTTTTAATTTATTACTCATGGGTCTAAAGACAAAGTTAACATCCGACGATGTCGCTTTATGTGAYAGCTTATTCATGTTTTATCTGAACAAAATAATGAGCAAACCCGAAAAAAAAGCAGAAAATGTGAACACAAAGTGTTTGGAAAATCCTSTTCAGTTCTGGAACTAGTGAAATTGAAATTTACAAGGAACTTCAAAAGTGAAGACGTTCAATTAGAAGGAATATATGGAATGTCAATGAGAGTTGTTAAATGGRCATGATATGTTTAATTATTGTGCTGGTGGTGACYAAGGAACGTACCTTGCGACTGCTCTTGYTCTTGTTCTTGTTCTTGTTCTTCTTCACTGTCCTCGCTATCATCATTTGATTTCATGGTAATCTGCATCCCGGGGTATTTGTCTTGAATTTGCTTCATGGCCATATCTTGCATATTAGAAAGCGCTTGTTTCATGCTATTTTCCATWTCTTGGGTATTTCCTTTGATTGGCTGCATCTCCATRCCTTGGTTCRCTCCCATTTGCACTCCTCTACCTAYATTCATCCCTGCTGGAACATCATTCATTCCTTGGGACTGCATACTTCCAAAATCTCCTTGGTTTTGCTGCTGTCCATAGTTATTATACCCGTTTACAACAGGGCCATGTGGCCGTGCCATATGTGGTTTCTCAACTTCTTTAAACCTGTGATTGTTAAAAGCTTGTGCTTTCTCGCTTGGCAAGTTTATTGATGCTTGACCACTTTGGGTGTTTTCTTTGTAAGTCATTTTCCCTTGAGGCTTTGGCCTGTCCTCCTGGTGCAGAAGAGCTTGGGCAAAGTCTTCATCCTCTGATTTCCCGATTGCAGTTCCTCCTAAGTKATGCTGTTTAGCCATCCGCATGCTGTCTTCCTTACGCTCAGAGAAAGTAGCTGCTTCAGGGTTAAACAACGAGTTTTGCATTGCTGAGTTGTCAATTAGTGCTTTGTCTCCAGCAAGCAAATCATCAGCATCGTTCATTGATATGACTGGGGAAGCCAATTTTCTATTGCCATAAGCATCAAAGTTGTCGCTTCCTTTCATGGGAAGAGTATCGAACTGGTCCTCTGATCCGTAACTAACAGTTTTTGGCTCCTTATTGTAATTTCTTATGATAACTGTTGTTGTATGAAGAGGTTTTGGCTTATTTCCAGCATCATCCTTTAGTGCTGCATCGCTATTTTTAACAGAGTTGACGATTATTGCGCTGTGAGTTTCTTTGTTTTGYAAGGTCATGTCTTGCTCAGTTCCAGCGTCGTTAGAGGGACCTTTTAGACGGATGCGCATTATTGGCACTGATTGTGCTTTAGAACTTGTAGTGATAACGGTATCATTATAAGCGGTTTTCAAATCTGGTTCTTGGTTGACAGGTTTGTCATAGTCCTGGGACAATGTAACAGACGTTGGGMCATTGTCTGGAAGTTTTGCGCTGCTTTGTTCTGAACGCCCATTTGGTCTTCCATCTTCCTGAATGCTCGGCGAATTTCTTTCGGGTTTCATTGCTACCGTTGGATGATAACGTGAAATAGCTTCAGGTAAACCAGGGTTTGAATTTTCTGGGGATTTTCCTTGGTCAACAGATTGCAAGGAGATGTTAATTCTCCCGATGGTGATGTTCTTTCCAAGATCTTGTTTTGTTTTGTTTTTGTTAGAATCGAGGGATAACTTCGATTCTATYTGACTTCCGTTTAATTTGCTCTGGAGCTTATTTTGCACTATGTTCCCTATAAGTCCTATTAAACCGGATATYGCCGTAGCGTCTTGTTTATCACGGTTGATATCACTGTCTTTGGGCTTCTCGGACTTCTCTGATTTGACAGACACATCAGATGTTGCTTGCGTATCTGAATCCTTGGGCTTTGGTGTTTCTTTTTCAATTACTTTTGTCTCAGGTTTTTTGTCAGTAGAAGTTGATTCTCCTTGCTTTGTATTTTTCACTTCTTCAATCTTACCATCATCTTTTCTATTCTTTACTCTGTCCTCACCTTTATCAACGTCTTTTCCGTTCTTTGAAGAGCTCTCACCCTTACTTTCATCTTTTCCCGCGTTCTTTGAAGAKCTTTCATCTTTACCATCGTTTTTTCCTTTATTTGAAGAAGGCAATTTGGTTCCTATATTAGGCATTATAACAATAGCATTGCCGCCTGATTTATTCCCCTGATCTTTATCTTTGGAAGARTTGTTAGAGTTCTTGTTAATTAGGAGTAGAATTCCACCCGGATTTTGCTGTGACGTCTGCTCTGTAGTTTGCTTTTCTTCTTGGGAACTGGCTGGTCCGGACTTGTATTTTGATGTGTCAGGTTCTGGATTATTTTTACTTTCTGACGTGCTTTTGGAGTTTTCGGATTTCTCCTTTGCGTCAGCTGGCTTGCTGCTGTTGGACTTATCGTCTTCTCCTTTGCTTTCCTTGGTTGTTGAGTTACCCTTGGATACAGCTTTAATGAGATTAAGGGTTTCCAATATTCCTTGTAATGTTTTTGAATTTTCCTTCTTCTCTTTGTCAAGTTTATTAGATTCTGTCCTATTTAAAGGACGACCTGATCCAAGAACTTCGGAATTGTGCTTTCCTTCTTTTAATTGTACAACTTTCGATTGAGTTTGAAAGCTATCTCTTAACATAGATGCAAGATTTTCAGGGGAAATAATGGCATGATTTTCGTTGCCACCATCCTGAAACCTTGCGTTTTCGATTCCAGCATTTTCCTTTGGCCTGACACTGGTTGATGTCTGAACAGTTCCATCCTGCATTCTCGACGCTTGAACCACTACATCTCCCTTTATTGGCTTTCCGGCGGCATCATTCAATGATTGAATGTTGTCACCGAAATTAAAAGGATTTTGAGAGAATCCTTGCTTCGGCTGTATCGAAGCTACAATGTTTTGCTGATCATGGTATGTAGAAGTTTGTACTGGGCTGGGATCACCTTGTTCTGCATTTTGAACAGCTGCTACAGTAACATCGCCCTCTTTTGGGTTTAGTGGATCATTTGACACAAGTGTTCCACTCAAATTAGGTCCTTTGAATTGAACTTTTAGCCTGACATTCAGACCTTTATTTGGCGTTCTTTTTTCACCCGAATGTATCTTTGTTCTTGAAGCTTTTAATCTTTTGATGTGAAATCTGTGTCTTTTATGATGGTGAAATTTTGAGCGCTTGTGCAGATGATGATGATGGCGTCTATGTTTTCGTGATCGCATCCAAGTTTTTTCGTGCAGATTTTCTTCAACGTTTTCATCCAGACTTCTCACGTTTCTCCTTTTGCTATCACTATCTTTAGAGGAGTCTTTACGACCTTTTTTAGAATCCTTTGCTTTCTTTGCTTTCTTGGCTTTCTTTTTTTGAGGTGGGGGTGCAGGCGCCGGCTGAGGAGGTGCAGGTACTGGTGCAGGCTCAGGTGCAGGTACCGGTGCAGGCTCAGGCGCAGGTACAGGTCCAGGCACCGGTGCAGGTACAGGCGCCGGTGCAGGTGGCTGTGGCGGCTGAGGTTCCTGAGGTGGTAACGGCGGCTGTGGTGGTTGTATTGGATACGGTGGCTGCGGTTCTTGCGGTGGTTGTGGCGGCTGWGGMGGTTGTGGTGGTTGTTGACAATTGACATTATTTTCGTCGTCGCACTTCCCTATGGCCTCATTGAACAATTGACCTTTGTCACAAGTCTTTTTAGATGTCTCGCCATCTTTGCATTCATAATATGCACTGCAATCGCTTGGGTCTGCATAGGCTCCATCTTTTTTTCCATCACAAAAATTAGCGTCATCTACAACAACATATAGAAAGAAAAATATTACCTAGTATTGGTTCAATGAAAAAAAGAAGATCTTGAGACAACRTTTTATTAAGTTTACCTTTTCCTTTTCCTTTTCCAGAGTCTTTTGCTTTCTTCCGCTGTTGTGGACAATTTACATTATTAATGTCGTCGCACTTGCCCATCACCTCATTAAACAATTGTCCTTCATCACAGACCTGTCGGAAAGCCTGGCCATTAGCACATTCGTAAAAAGCACTACAGTCGAGTGGGTCTGCGTAGAGTCCATCGTCTTTTCCATCACAAAAATTCGGATCATCTGTTACAACAAGTAGAAATGTTCGAAATTATTTGTAAATTTACAGATGCATTGATAATAAATCACCTCACTGTCGCTATTACCTTTTKTCTTGTCTTTATCAGACTTTTTAACTTTGTCCTGTTTACGATTTTTAGAGTCCCTTGCTTTCTTTGCTTTCTTAGTTTTCATTGGCGGTGCAGGCGCTGGCGCGGGAGCAGGCTGTGGAGATTCAGGCGCTGGTGCAGGTTCAGGCGCGGGCGCAGGCTGTGGAGATTCAGGCGCTGGTGCAGGCGCGGGCGCAGGCTGTGGATATTCAGGCGCCGGTGCAGGCGCGGGTGCAGGATGTGGATATTCAGGCGCTGGTGCAGGTAACGGTGCAGGTTGTGGATATTCAGGCGCCGGTGCAGGTGCAGGTAGCGGATACGGTGGCTGCGGTTCTTGCGGAAGTAACGGCGGCTGCACCGGTTGCGGTGGTTGTGGTGTCTGTGGGCAATTTACATTATTTGCATTGTCGCACTTGCCTATCGCCTCATTAAACAGTTGTCCATTTTCACAGGTCTTTCTGGAAGTCTCGCCATCTTTACATTCGTAATATGAACTGCAATCCTGTGGGTCTGCATAAACTCCATCGTCTTTTCCATCACAAAAATTAGGATCATCTTTCACAACAGAAAGAAATATGTGCATATCAAAATATACATAGATATAAATATAGATATTCACTGTGGCTATTACCTTTTTTCTTGTCTTTATTAGACTCTTCAACTTTGTCTTCTTTACGACTTTTAGAATCCCTTGCTTTCTTTGCTTTCTTTTTTTGCATTGGCGGTGCAGGTGCAGGCGCCGGGGCAGGTGGCTGTGGAGCTTCAGGCGCTGGTGCAGGCGCCGGGGCAGGTGGCTGTGGAGCTTCAGGCGCTGGTGCAGGTGCAGGCGCCGGGGCAGGTGGCTGTGGTTCCAGAGGGGGCTGTGGTTGCAATGGTCCCTGCGGTGGTAACGGCGGCTGTGGTGGCTGTATTGGATACGGTGGCTGTGGTTCTTGCGGTGGTAACGGCGGCTGTGGGGGTTGTGGTGGTTGTGGACAATTTACATTATTTGCGTCGTCGCACTTGCCTATGGCCTCATTGAACAATTGCCCGYTTTCACAGTTCTTTTTGGATGTCTCGCCATCTTTGCATTCGTAATATGCACTGCAATCGCTTGGGTCTGCATAAACTCCATCTTTTTTTCCAT